TAATACCCTACATGCATATATGATTACATGCCCATGTAATTCTACATCATGTACAACCAGAAGAGTGAGAAGTTATACTTCATTTGTGATGTGTCAAAATGCATTCTACTGTCATGTGTCACTAATTAGAACAAATGAGAAAAAAAAAAAAAAAAGAGTGCATATTGGAGTCAAGTTTGCTCCAAAGTAAGCAAACTCCCTCCTCTATGTGTTTCCCTCAGGTCAGCTCCCCAGCTCTGGGCTTCTTCTGAAATGACACTACCTGCCTTCCTGGGATCCCCATCAAGACTAAATTAGATAATATATATGAGAAAATTTTGTAACATGGAAAATACTGTACAATATCAATTATTATTGCCAACCTTTCAGAAAGTATGCGATCAAATCCAATTCATTTTAACTTTCTGGAACATAAGAAAAATATATTACATAGAGAGTCTCGTTGATTCAGTGGTTTAAAAAAAAGGCAAAGTCTTTGATTTACTTTCATATAAGACATCATAAAGATAGCACTTTCTGACCAAGCAATACAAAATTGTTAGCAAGGCAAACAGATATTGATTTGCCACTTCATACACTGGTAGTTAGTGCTTTTCAAAATAACTTTTATCTGATTATAAAAAAAACATTTGTCCATTGTAAAAGTTTTAGAAAAATGCAGAAATAATATAGGAACATAACGTCACTACCCCAGAGATCACCACTTGTAACAGCTTGGCATATTTTCTTCCAGTTCTTTTTTTTTTTGCATATCAATAAGAATTGAGGCTATCCTGTATATAGGGGCTTATATTCTGATATTTTACTTATAATATAAACATTTTTCCTATGTTCTAAAGAAAATCTTTTGTTGGACATGCTTTTTAATGGCTACATGTTATTCTACGTTGTGATTGTATATAAAAATTTAATATTATTAATTATTTACTTAGAATAGATTTCTAAAAAATGTTTTTACTAAGTAAACCATTGTTAGGTTTTTCATATATCTTGATTAGAGGAATTGCAAGCAAGCCAGAACTGTTAGGGGATGAATCTCATATAAAACTGCTCAAAGCACACATGCAGACAAATTGATTCTTCCTACATCCATCATTATGTATTTTTATTTTCAAATCCTCTTTCTAATACTTTGGGGAAGATCTAAGACAATTCTTAGCAGCACAGCAATTGTTCACAGGCATTTAGTTGGGATCGCTATTAAATGCCTTGTGCAAAATAAACCAAAGAAATACATTTCTGCAGGTGAAATTATGTCAGTCAACATCATTTCTTACTCTAGGGTATGATGTCAGGTATCAAATTTCTCCATTATGAATGTTCATGTGTCGATGAGGGTGGATCCCCTTGGAAGGAGATTAAAAAGACGGCATCACCTAAAAACTTCCTTCCTAATAATTTGAGAATGTCCAGAAGCCTTGGGGGGCTTGGTACGGTAGCTTACTATCTCAGACAACACCCTGCAGAGGATTAGCTTTCTTAACATTTCATCCTCTCCACCAAGAGAGTCAGGGGTCATTCGTACTCACAAGAGAAACCTAACTTAAGTAAAGTACGCTATTCATCTATTCAGCACCACATACCTATAAAGTGTCCAAAATGGCTCTTTAGTGACTAAATACATTTCCATTTTCCCATCACTTTTCCCCCTACTTGGCCATTTTCCTAAAACCATAATTCAAACTTTCCAAAAGGAAAAAAAAATAATCTCTGGGTAATCCTTTCAAGAATTCTTAGAAGGAAACTTTTATTCTTTGATCACTCTTATGGGAAACCTAACTTGTGATTATTATTAGGATTTAAAATGTTTCAGCACCAGCATACACCTAGGTGCTGTGGGGGTGGGGAAGCAATATGAGCAAAAGGCCACCTGTTTTGCCATCGCTGCTCCACAAGGGAAAAGCTTGAATGTAGAAGACTTAAGAAGTGGGAGGATGTCTAAGGGAGGAGGGTTGGTCACCTTCCGAATATTTTAACTACCCACATTCTATTTACTTCCCATGATAAATGGGGAGCATCTTTCCTTGGATGGGGTCCATCTGTACTATGAGTAGGGACAGGAAGAGGCCCAGCTTCTAGACCCCTGCCTAGAAGGGTGATGATGGCTCTTTGGACCCAGGCAGGCACCTTTGTCACCCAGAGCATTCTTTTTCCAGAGCAGGATCCAAAATGGAAGGAGAACTCCCCAACTTTATAAGCCCTCCTGTAGCTTTTATGAAATAGATTCCTTGGATGCAGTTCCCGGGTCTCCTCCAGCAACTGGAGCAGGGCTGTTTGCAGTGAGTCAGACAGGTGCCTTCACTTTCACCTTTGCAGGCCTCCGTTGTCGCCTCTGGGGATCTTAATGTCACAAGCAATGCGGTGTTTGCCACACTGGCAGCAGCAACAGAGCAATGTGCAGCCGGCTGGGGGATCGAAATTTGCAAACTCAGTATCCTGGGCCTCAGGCCAATGCAGGCTGGGTGCGTTGCTGTGGTGACACGTTTAGTCTCTGGGGAGGGATGCTGGCACACCAGCTGCATTCTTGGCACTGCGTTTGCCAGTGAGAAACTTGTGGAGTGGAACTGGTATCAACTCCAGAGGGAGATGCAAGCTGCTTCCTTAACTTCTTTGGCAATACTATCCTTTGCAACTTGTGCGTAGTACACCCTCCTGAATATTTACAAGAACTACTATTCGTGATACTCTTTGGGGTCTGGTTGGATGATACTTTGAAGGCAAGTGCTAAAATGATAGCAGACTTCCAGTTTACAAATGTAACTATAGCATCCCTGAATAATTCAATTTCCTAAAATTGGCACCTAACTATGCAATGAATTATCTTTTGCTGGGAAGGGATTCTAATTCCCCCTCACTTTTAAAAATAGCTTTTCACTGTTGCCAAGAGGAGAGCCTAGTATTTACTATCAGAGGAAGATATGTGAATTAAAATACTCGCTTTTTTTCCCTCTTACATTTCATTGGCATTACATTCGCCGAGCTTGCTAATACCTGAGAGAAAGAAATGCCCTTAGTTCTTCAGAATGCCTGACCCACCTCTCTTATTTGTGCCTGCAAGGCAACATGCACTAGGATTTGGCCACTTAGTATTCAGACCATGTCAAGATTCAAGTAAAAAGCCTATATTGCAAAGCTGGATGCACAGTTGCCAGACCAAACACAGTCAACAGTTCAAATCACAGTTAGATTATAAGAAAGCGTGGGGCAAAGCATGCAGACCTGTCTTGTCAATGAAGCAGTAGAGATAAAAGGAATTACTCTATAAATGCCAACTTGGGAGGCTTTAATGAATACAGAGATGGTGTTCTTTCCAGCTGCCCCCAGTTGACTGTAAAAGCTGGTTAAGATTTTGACCAGAAAGCTTTCTTCTTCTTCCTCCTCCTCCTCCTCCTCTTCCTCCCTCTCTTTCTTTGTCTTCTTTTAAATGCAAAACATCTAAGTATTGAGAAAGGAACAATTCCTCTGTGTATTCCCATAGTTTTGCAAATGGACAGCCATGTTAGCAGGCCAAGTGATTACTACTGGAAATATCAGATGTAATAGAGGAAATGCAGTTTAGACAATAATTCACATATGTTAATGCTTAGTTCCATCAATGTCAGCTTTATTTTCTTCTTGATATACACAAAGCTGGCACACAATTTTAACTGATGAGGTAATGTCATTTTTAATTTAGAAAGCCTTAAGCTGTCCACTCAAACCAGTGATATCATCTTTGCAGTTGTCTCCTGAGACTTTATGTAAACGTAAGTAATGTGTCCTGGGCAGTTTGAAAGAGATTGTTAAGGATGACATCGGTCATCATGAAGATTTCTCCCCACTTTGATTTCTTTTAAATTGCTAGATAAAGTTGATATGACTGCCATATTTTAGCCATTCCTGAAATTAATATATACCAGGATTTTTGAACCAAGGGAAACAGAGAAATAAAATAAAGGTTTGAAGTGAATGGGTTGTAATGTGTTCATGTTAGTTCTAGGAGAAAAAAAAAATGGAAACAAATCAGATCCTCTGGCTCCTATGTGACTTGGCAAATAAAAAGAAAGAAAAGAGCAAGATACTAAGAAACAGATAACACCAAATAAACAAAAATCTCTTTATTTCCCTCAAGGACACTAGTGATGGTTTCTACCTTTTAAAGATAAATAAGTTGCAAGCATATCAGTTATCTCAGTGTAATCTTTAGAATAATATTTTATTGCCAGTCTATCATTTGTCTCTTCAGTGTATCATTATTAAACCAGATTTTTTTAATCATATCACTTTGGTGATTTCAAGTGTGTCATATTACCTTTTCAAATGCTATTTCTCGAATCATTCAGCCTGGTGAGTATAGACAAGGTTATTTTCCAGTTTTGAATAAATTTATTTTCTGTGAATAAATTATATTCTATGATCCACACATAGAGTGGGGAAGATAATCTGTGTTTGAACTATTGAATGTGGCCACTGAGAGAATTTTTTCTAAGAAGTCTGGAGTTAGAATTGAGTCAAATAGTAAAGAATCTGTTTATTATTCCGTGGCCATATGTTTAGAGGGTCGCTCACAGAAATCAAAGTATTGTTCATGGAGAGCTCCAGCTAAGGAGACATTTTGAATTCATAAAAGAACTTCACAGTTTGAAAAGAATGCATAGCATTATGTATTGACACCCCACCACCATAGACAAAGGAACACAATTTAATAATAGAGAATTGTGCTCATGAGATTTTTCTTTTTCTTGTTAATTGGTTACTTTAACTGACATTGTCTGCAAGTATAATGGACACCATTATTCTTAATAGTTCTGTGTTGCCAGATGATGTATACAGACATGATGTAGTCCATTTTAATTATTTCATTTTGCTAGATATTTTTTTCCTCCATGTAAAGCAGCAGAGAACGCAGAAAGCACTTTTTCTCTTGACAGACTGTGCTGCATAATGTTACTTTCTGAATTATTGAAATTAAAAGGGCATTTCTTGCCAACCTAATGTTTCCTTCCCTGTTTTTGTGCTAGGTATGACTATGTGGAAGTCATTGATGGAGAAAATGAAAATGGACGTCTATGGGGAAAGTTTTGTGGAAAGATTGCCCCTTCTCCCGTGGTGTCTTCAGGGCCGTTTCTTTTTATCAAATTTGTCTCTGACTATGAGACGCACGGTGCAGGATTTTCCATACGTTATGAAATTTTCAAGAGAGGTGAGTGAGTAACTGACAGAACAAGGATGACTAAAAGATAATGTAACATTGATTTTACAAAAGACAAAGTCAAAAGAAAGATGGGGGTGATGCTGTTATTCTTTCCTAAAGAATATATTTGCTCCTTATAACATGTTGAAAAATGCATTAAATAAAACTACCCATTGTGTAGAGGAAGTTTGTTTAAAATTGAACAGAAGCATTTTAAGAATCAAAATCGCATTATTCTGATGTATTCACCAGTGTGTATAAGGAATACACTCCATAAAATTCTTTAAGAGTATTCTTTTTACTCTGAGAGTTTGATTTTTTTGTGTGTGAAAAACATATTATTCCCTCTTAAAGCCATGTACATCCTGTTCCCTTTAATTTATTACAAAATTTAAAACTGGTAGTTCTCAAGAAGAACAAAACTGCCCACCAGCCTCATAGTTTCCATCACTACTTGGGGAGGGGGTGTAGGAAGAGGCTTTCTACTCATGGGAGGATAGTTGGGTGAGGAACCTCTTATAGAAAACAAAAGAGCAATGTTTTTAGTGGCATTCCCCCAGGAATGAGATCTCAGTTACCCTCTCTATTACAAGCATTTACTTATCTTCTGTTGCAGTGGTGTATATTGGGTTGGAATAGAATCTGACTATTCATAGGCTCCCAGACTTGAGGTATTGTTAGATAGCCTTCTGTTACTGTAACAAAATACCTGAAATAAATCAACTTAAAAAGAGATTTCATTTGGCTTACAGTTTTCAAGGTTTTAGTCCATGGTTAAGTGACCCCAATTGCTTTTGGGCCTGTGGTGAGGCAGCACATCCTGGTGGCACAGCGCACAACAGAACCAACTATTCACCTCTTGGCTGGGACATGAAAAAGAGAGAGGAAGGGTTGGGGTCCCATAATCCCCCAATGACTGGAAGACCTCGCATTAGGCTCCATTTCTTAATGTTTCTACATCTTTAATAGTACCAAACTGAGGACTAAACCTTTGTCATATGGACTTTTGGACGACACTCCAAATCCAAACTATAGCAAGACAAGGTAACTTTATTTGAAAGTCACTGTAGATTCCTCTTCTGTATTAAGTTCAGCCTTTTGTATTCCATGCATTTTAAAGTTAGTGTTAATGTGTTGACAATCCAGGGATAGATGCCCAGGTTTTGAATATATTATACTGAAGTATAATAGGAAGTGCCAAAGTATAGTTGAAAGTTGGCTTAACAGAAAAAATCCAGCCACACCAGTTTGAACATCTCAGGTCCTCTGGGTCAGTATCAACTGAAAATAATGAAAAGTCGAGTCATTGGGAATTTGGGGGAATTTCTGATATTTGTTTCTGCCCCCATAGAGAGAGAACTTTCTTCAGAAATTTCCTTAGAACAAATGCCATTAGTACAAATGATAGTATACATATGACATCAGTATAAACAGATGTTTATATATGTACATTTTTTCTTGTGTTAAAAGCTGTTTGATTCATTACATGAAACATATTACACATGTATGTATATGTACATACACATGCATGTCTACATCCTCTTGCCTTCTTGCCTGGAGCACTACCAAAGAGAAAAGATTTCAGAAAGTCTTCAGTTTTTCTCATGAAGATGCTCAAAAGAAAGAAGAGAGAGAGAGAGAGAGAGAGAGAGAGAGAGAGAGAGAGAGAGAGAGA